AAAAAAAAAAAAAAAAAAGATATGAGAGTAGCTTGGACTAGGGGGGTGGTGGCAGTGGTGTGGAAGGAAGCCAATGAATCCAAGAAATATTCAGGAAAATCTAATGATATATTGCATACAGGGGCTGAGGGATGACATGGTGTCCAAGACTTCTCGTTTTCTGATTTACATGACTACATAGAAGGAGATATCATCCAGAAAGGATCTGCTCCAGAAATGTCTTTAAGGCAGTTCACACATTCTGAAAAAGGCCTAAAGGCACTTCACTTTTGCCTAAAAATGTGCCAACCCAGTTTAATCCCCTACTTTACTTATGAAATAAGGTTCTAAAAGTTTTTCTGCTATTTCCAAAAATCAAACTGATTCTCCAAAGTATAAGGATTTTCCAACACTGAAGAAATTTCAAAGATTCTGCAACAAGCTTTAAATTCAACTCCAAATGAGTTTTAAAATTGGTTTGAGCAATAGGGCAGCATTATGGAATGAATGTGTCATTTCCCACGAGGACCATTTTGAGACTAAAATGCATTTGCTGCTGTTTAGACATTTTAAAGAAATCTTAATAGTTAAGAGTACTCTTATGTGATATTAAACTAAAATATGGTACCAGACATTACGATAATTAGAACTAAGCTGCTTTTATGTTTGTTTCAACATTTTGAAATGCCTGTAGAAAATATGGAATTTTGTAGGGAAAAAAAGGTATGATTTTTAAAAAACACAAAATCTCTTAACCTTAATTATTTTACTGTTTCCATCCAGGCCTTGTTAATGCCCATCTCATTCATTTGACTTTAAAAGATTTTTACTGGTTAAGTAACACAACTCTATATATGTATACACACTATATACAGAGTAAAGCCAATACTTTGTCAGCACTATCAATACCTTAATAATTACTTTCCCTGGTTTTAATTTTTAAATTTGCAACCTAATGCCATTTTCATAAAATACAGATGCCTTTACCTCTTAGAAACAGAAACTTCAAATCTGGTTGACCCAAGGAAAAAAAGATGAAAGATTTACCCTTTTAAAATCAACCTAACACACCATACCTTAGTATTGGAGTATTTCCTAATTCTGGCAGGATGGGCTCCTTGGCCACCTACTTGCACTAGGATCTGACTAGCATTTTATTAACATCCAACAGCAGTTAACAGGACATTACCACTGCTTGTACAAAGCAGAATTCTTTTAATTTTTTTTCCCATGCTGATTTTATCTCAAGGCTTCAAAAGGCAAGACTGCAGTCTGCCTTTGGAAGATATTAAAAATGTCATCTCTGCAAATGAGGAGAAAAGTCAAGAGCTTTTTGAAAATCAGGTCTTAAACAAGCCCGCTAACTAGTAACAGTTTGTAAAACCAGACTGTCTTCACACTAGAGACTGCTAGCAAATGTGGTCCTTGGGAAAAAGGGGTGGAGAGGTTGAAATGATTACCAGCACGGTTCATCTTTTTTTCCCCACATTGTTAATTTTTTTTAACATGGAATCAGACCGTGGCTATATTTGAGATAGCAATGGCTGGGTATGGGCAATGCCAAAGAATAAACAGCGAAAAGCCCTTAGGGTTCCCAATCTCAGCCAGCGGACTTTCCTATCTTCCTCGGAAGGAGTGGTCCAGTCTCCACAGCTGGAATGCGGGGGAGGGAAAGTTATAAGGGCCCTGGGCTTTTCCCTTACCCAACCCCCCAAAATGACACCGCAAACCACTTCCTTCTGGGAACTAAAGGTCATAAGCTTTAAGGGACAATGTAAGCTTCGGAAAGATGGAGCTAGGCAGATGAGATGGGGGTAGGGAAGTGCGAGTGAAGAGATGCGCCTAGTCCGGGGTAGCTGAATAGGGAGGTCAAGGCCAGGCACTTCAGGAGCATGAGAAGGGCAGGATCTTCCAGAATCTGTCCAAGTAGGCCTGCCACGGCCCCCTGAGAAGCCCGAGGGGCTCGTCTGAAAATCTAGGACATCTATGTATCCAGCGCTATCCCCGCTCTCCTCGGGAAGGGAGATAATCCCCATGGGAACCCTTCCCCCAAACTGGGGCTTTTCTTGCCCTTAAAAAACCCTTATGGAAAACATTTATAAAGGAGTGGAAGGACCGGGGGCAAGTAGCGGTTTTGCAGACGTCGGGGGAGCAGGCCCCCAGTTCGAGGAACTTTACCACTGGAATGGGGCGTGGGAAGAGGGCAGTCTGAGGCCCGCGAGCCTCGCCGGCTGAAGGGACATGGAGCAGCCGGGTGCCGCGGAGCCCCCCTCAGAGGGCATGAAGGCCTGGGGCGCGGTCGCCGCTGAAGGCCAGCCTGCTGGCCCGGCGCGGGAGCCGGGGCGCTGCCGCCCCCGGGCTGCGAAGGGCCCGGCCTCGGGAGGCAGAGGCGGCCTAGGCCTCGGGGGCCCGGACACACCCACCGCGCGGCCGCAGCCCCGCTTACCTGCTCCTCCTCCAGGGTCAGCTCCGGCGCCATGTCGGGCCGGGGCGCGGTCGCGGGCTCCATCCCGCCGCCGCCGCCGCCGCCCGGCAGGCAGAACTCGCTCCGGACCCGGCGCGCTCGGCCTCCGCTTCCGCGTCCCCCGCCTCAGCAGCCCGAGGCCGGCTCGCGCATGGTCGGGCCGGCGAGGCCCGGCGCCCGTGGCGGCTGCAAACGCCGCTTCTGCTTCCTTCAGAAAAATCTCTCCGAACGGTCGCTCTCTTCCGGGAGGAAATCCTTTTTTATTTTCTTCGCTCCTTTCCTCCCACTCCCCCTCCTCTCCCGGGGGCAAAAAAGAAGTGCTGGCGAGGATCTGTTAGCCGCCCGCGATTAAAAAATCAAGAACTTGCAAAGCCCAGGGCGAAGGGCCGCAGCGGCAAGTGCCCGTTCCCGAAGGCCGCCGGCCTCCTCCGCGTCCGGCCGCCTCGGCCGCGTTCCCGCTCCTCCGGGACGTGACGGCGCCGCGGGGCCGCCCAGTCTGGCCGTCCTCGGGGCTGCGGGCCCTGCGACCCGCGCAGCGGCCTCTCGCCCGGTTCCTCAGGAGCGGCCGCAGCGAGAGAGAGGAAGGGAGGAAAAGGCGCCCCTCTCCCGGCTCACCGCCAACGCCGCGGCCGCGCGGCGTCCGCCTGAGCCCCCCGCGGCTCCATTGAGTAACTGTGCGTCTCATTCACAAACAGGCGGCGACGCGGGCCCAGCAGCCGGAGACGCCGTCCGGGAGGGGGAGACAGCGAGGAGCCCGGAGGGGGAGGGGCTGCAGACTGGACCGAGGGCCACTCTGGACTGCGGGAGGGAGAAAAGGGGAGAAAGGAGTGTGCGTTTTATGAGGTTAAGATCCTTGGGGGAGGACGCGAATACATTCTTTTGCAAATTGTCTGCTGACTGGCACCTCTCCTGGGGTTAGCTTGCCGCTACCACCTACGCGTGAGGAACCCACTATCGTCATCCGTTTCCTTGTCACTTGCAGACTGAAAGACCCTGGAAGGGTTGCCTGCGAGGTCCGGGGTGCTCAGGTGGAAGGAACAAACGCAGCTAATCGCGGCTCTATGTGTCTCTTTCTCCCTCCCTGCAGGCTGTATTCTGTAATCCATCGCCAGTGTAGCTAATCCACACAAAAACGACATCCGATTTCAAACCTCATTGGAGAATCACGCAGCCTTTGCAAACCTTTGATTCTCACTCCGGCAAGCACAGCGAAGAGCTTGGGGGTTTCACAGGGTTCAGGATACAGGGTACAGTCTTGGAGTCAGTTTGAGGGGGATAGTGGGCACAGGGAAGGCAGGGCTGGGTCTGGTATGTTTTTGCATCATTTCAAACCAAAAATAAATATTCCAAAATGGACCCAATGAACAAGATAGTGTCACAGCTAGTCCTAAGGCTAAAGCCCTGAAACCTGCCCAGAGAGACCCAAGGGAGGAGTCTTCAGACAACTGAGAATGCTGTGACTTCTAGGATTTTTTTTTTTTTT